TGCAATGGCACGATCTCGGCTCACCGCAACCTCTACCTCCTGGGTTCAGGCAATTCTCCTGCCTCAGCCTCCTGAGTAGCTGGGATTACAGGCACACACCACCATGCCCAGCTAATGTTTTTGTATCTTTAGTAGAGGCGGGGTTTCACCATGTTGACCAGGATGGTCTGGATCTCTTGACCTCGTGATCCACCTGCCTCGGCCTCCCAAAGTGCTGGGATTACAGGCTTGAGCCACCGCGCCCGGCCACATCATCTAGGTTTTAAGCCCTGCATGGATTAGTTGTTTGTCCTAAGGCTCTCCCTCCTCTTGCCCCCCACACCCGACAGTCCCGAGTGTGTGATCTTCCCCCACTGTGTCCATGTGTTCTCATTTTCAACTCCCACTTATGAGTGAGAATATGCAGGGTTTGCGTTTTCTGTTCCTGTGTTAGTTATGAAGAGCTTTTAAAGAGAAACCATAAAAGTTAAATCCACTTCATTAGAAAGGCTGGGAGGATTTTTTTTAATCTATAGAGCCTAAGGCATTTCTCTAAAATATCATTGATTTTATAATAAACAGACTATAAAAGGCAAAACTGCATGATCACTGAAAAAAAAAAGCTTTTCAACAAAGCGAGAAGTAAAAGGCATCCCTCTCCCAGTGGAATTGTTTGTGATTTTCATGTTGTGGACTTATCTGTCAGGAGCAGTTGCATTTGCTTTCCAATTCCAGTTGGTAATATCTGCACAGAAGTCTTTCACGGGCTTCAGAGCAGAAGGCTCTTTCAGTATCACATGATATTTTGCTTTGTGTGGCCAGAGGACACAATCTTGTGACCTGCAGCATTTAGATGGTCCACAAAATGCACATAGGCATGTGTGTATTATGCATTTTTGTACTTCTATTTAAAATTTTACCTTTTTTTTTTTTTTTGCCCACATTAAATAATCAGAAGATTATTATTTTTAAAAATCCAGGTTTTTAAGTCTCTTGGATAATTAGAGATTTTGGCAACCATAGGCCCGAGGGTTTGCAAAGGCAATGAGTGGCTCTTGTGAGGTACTGGGCTCTCTAGTTACTGCTTTCTCTAGCATTCCCCATTCTAGAACTTTCCCTGCCTAGGCCTGATGAACATTTGAGTTTTCATGCCCAACCATGTCCCCAGGCAACTGACATGCTGTTTAGATCTTCACTGCCTTTCAGCATTCCGTAGGGTAGTGACACAATGCAGGTTGAGGCCATAGTAAGTTCAGTCTGCCCGGAGCTCAGAGGAATGGGTCGAGCAAGGCCATCAGCATTCCCTGGCTCCCTGGCTCCTTTGGCCCAGGTTTCATGGTGCCCCAGTGGCAGCAGGCCAGACACTGATTTGTGTCCTCACTGTTGAAGGGAGAATCTGTGACATTTTTCTAAATGTTCACAGTAGTAGTAAATCTTGATCTTTCAAGATGTTTTTTAAAAAACCCACCAGAAACCACTTCGATCCAAATGTGAATATGTATCAACGAACTGGATAATACCACTTGAGGATTAAGAATGAAAGTTTTGGGCTGGGCACGGGGGCTCACGCCTGTAATCCCAGCACTTTGGGAGTCCAAGGTGGGTGGATCACCTGAGGTCGGGAATTTGAGACCAGCTTGACCAACATGGAGAAACCACATCTCTACTAAAAATACAAAATTAGCCAGGCGTGGTGGCGCATGCCTGTAATCCCAGCTGCTTGGGAGGCTGAGGCAGGAGGATTGCTTGAACCTGGGAGGCGGAGGTTGTGGTGAGTCAGGATTGAGCCATTGCACTCCAGCCTGGGCAACAAGAGCAAAAACTCAGTCTCA